TTAAAAATATAAGAAAAGTATTTCACAACATCCACCAAGATGACAAATTGTCTGTAAAGTTTAATAAAAAAACTAATGCTTAAAAAGATAATTCATCGCGATAATGAACATTTAGTTTGAATGTTATTATTGCCAATAATCTAAAATACTTTTTCGTGGTTTTCCTTTGCATTTAACGCAATATTTGATTTGTCTGAAATTTAATTTAATTTTAAATAATATATAGGTTATTACAAAAGCTTTTATAAACATGATTTTGCTCTGATATTTAAATTACAAGTTACTTTGATTTCGGGGACGTGTTGAAAGTTACAAATATAAGAAAAGCATTTCACAACATGCACTAAGATGACAAATTGTCTGTCAAAGTAATAAAAAAACTAATGGTTAAAAAGATAATTCATCGCGATTTTGAGCATTTAGCTTGAATAGTATTATTGTCAGTAATCTAAAATACTTTTTCGTGGTTTTCCTTTGCATTTAACTTAACATTTGTTTTGTCTAAATTTTAAATAATATATTATAGGTTACGTTAAAAACTTTTATAAACATGATTTTACTCTGATATTTAAAATGCAAGTTACTTTGATTTCTGGGAGTTACTTTGATTGATGGCGAAAATGAACATTTAGCTTGAATGTTATTATTGTCAGTAATCTAAAATACTTTTACTTGGTTTTCCTTTGCATTTAACGCAATATTTGATTTGTCTGATCAGTATCAGCTGAAATTCACCACATTAATGGTTAATGATACTAATCGTGAAGGATTTCCAGCTGCTGTATTTTACTCTTCTAGAGAAACAGCTGACGTAGTGAAATATTTTTTTGATGCGATAAGTAAGCGGGTGTCAAATCCGTTTTTATGTCAGATGATGCACCAGCCTATTATAATGCATGTTTTTGGAGAATGTGAGTTTCATTTATTATGTAGCTGGTATGTTAAAAGGGCTTGGAAAAAGAATTCTAAGGTTAGGGTAGCTGATTTAAGATCCGCCATTAAATCTGTTTTATTTGAGCTTCAAGAAGAGACTGATGTTGTGACATTTGATCATTCTTTGAGAAGTATAGCTCTAATGCAGATGCGAAAAGTTTTTTAAATTATTTCAATGAGGAGTACGTGTGTAGGACAAAGCAATGGGCTTATTGTTATAGAGTTGATTGTAGGATTAATGTTAATATGAAAAGGTGGCATAGGTTGTTAAAGTATGAAGAAGGTGTGTTATTAAGGGGTCACTTTCTATGGTGTTGAGTGCTATCAGGGCTAAACTTTTTGGAAGGTTGATTTCTCTTGAGAGGCATAAACTTACGGTATTAGAAGTAGGCATGACAAAATAAAAGTTATGAACGACAAGTATTCTGTTTTAGAATTGGATAAAGCATGAAGTTGGGTGGTTTCGAAACCTCATGGTAATTTAATTGTGACGTATGATGTTAATAAAGTTGATATTAGGTGTAATTGCCAGTTAAGATGTGATGCATGTAACATTTGTGTGCATCAGTTAAAATGTAGTTGTGTCGATATCAGGTTCAATATGTGCAAACATTTTGTCATTTCACATTTTTCTGTTACTTCTTTGAATTCCGTTGAGCCAGTTATTCCTCCTAGCAAGTCAGACGAACATATTGCTATATCTGCTGAATTGGTCGTGCATTAACCACTGAAAATATGAGGAAAATGCTCTTAGAAAATCTTAATGATATAAAAGATTTAATTGTCAATGCCCAAACTGATTCAGAGCTAGATATGATTCATAATACATTTAGCGAATTAGAAACAAAATATTCATTGATGTCAGATAATAGTTTAGTTAACTTTACACAGTGTGAAAAACAACCAGCAAATAAACTTGTACAAAAGCAGGTTCGATTTTAAATTAAGATTTTTCATAATTAGGAATAATTATAAATTGTTTTACGTTAGACTCATTTGGCCAAAAGTTTTTTTTTTATAATATAGAGGTTCTCTGTGTATACATAGTTGATACACATATGTCAAATACCTATTTATTTAAAGATTTTCTTTTAAATGAGATTCTATTCTTCTGATGAGTTTATTCTTTTGTATATAAAAAACTATAATCTAGAATATTTTATATAATACGTTTAATTCTTTTGTACAGACTAGTCAAATATTTATGTATATAGAAGATTATAATCAAGAATAATTATCTAGACTTGTCAAATTTTTATGTATATAGAAAATTATAATCCAGAATACTTTATGTAGAGAGACTGTTGACTTCTTTTGTGTACAAAAAGTTATAGTCATGATTAATTTATAATCCAGATTGTGAATAAATTTCATTGTAAATAGAAAATATAATGAAAGGTAAATGATAGTCAGAGTTTTGGTTGGATTTGATATATTTTTTACCTGGCGCTGAGTTCCTAAATGCCTGTACATTTAATGACATTGATAATGGCTTTTCTTTAAGATTAACTGTAGACTTTTTTAATAGCATTATAGTAAACTTAGTTAATGAAAATGAGCACCATAAAAAAATCTATTAAATGTTAAGTTTTGTAATTGGTGTAGTTTTTACTAATTGATGTATTAAGTTTCTTATTCTCAATTGAGTTAATTTAAAATTAATTATACTTTCAATCAATAACAGAATGCATTTAAGTACTATACCTTTTGGTGTTCCATATTTTTTTATTTTATTTTATTAATTTCATATCTTCATTGGGATATCTTCATTCACACTAAACAGAACCAAGTCTTACAGTTGCAGTTAACTTTTGAAAATATGCTGAATCTGCATGACTTCCTAAGCAGTGGTTGTGCAAGCATTACCTCTAACTGTGGAGAAGTGATGATCTAGATGCACGATGGCTCAGTGGAGCTTTAGTGAGGGAACTTGTTTATTATTTTGATATCAAGTCTTTCCTTCTATTGCCCCTTCTAAGCCGCATCTTTTGATTTCCATAAACATCTTTCTCAATGGGGAATTCTTTTTGGAATTTAATATGGTTTGTAAGTATAATGGTGAGTATATTACCTTATATGTATATAATTTTTGTTTACATCATATGAAGAATATATATTATTTACTGTATTATTAAATTGTGCATGGAATTCCATTTCACAATATGACATATAATTAACTTGTACACTATATATGCTTTTTTAGTAGCTAATATAAATAATTCATTCAATCTGTAGGTTTTAGATATCTAGATGTTTTAATTATGGTGCATGATAAGTGTTGCATTAACTTACAAAATTGATGAGCCAGTGAGGTATTCATTGGTGTTAAGATAGTTTAATTTACCAAATATGAGCAGAAAATTTTTGAAAACTGAAGGGGAGAAATCAGCTTATCCAATTCACTAGGTTTGACAATTTGCATTAGGACATTACCAAATGAAATGCCTCCCTATTTGTGGAACAATAATGATAACTGGTAAATATTTTAAAACTTACAGACAAAACATAAAATAGATAAAAATTCAGTGCCTGTATTTAAAAATTTAAAAGAAACATGACAATTTGAATGGAGTTTTTTTATTATTTAATCTTTTAATTATGAATTCAGTCTGCTTCTCTTACATACTGTGCAACTGTTATTACAAGGGGTGAATTTTTATTTCCTATTGTAGCATGCCATATTTTTTTACAGCTTATACAATGGTTTCTCATTTGGAAGGAATTTCCAAATAAATTATAAACAAAATTTAAAGGTATGTGATTTTTTGTAAACTATGAATAAAATAGCTTGTGTACTAAAGTGTTAGAACTTTTCCGTGACTATGGACTAAAGGTTCAGTTTGTGCAATTATTTCATTTTAATTATCCTTGATACATTGTGTATAAATATAAGGTTACTAATTAAAAATCTCAGCTATTGTTGAAAAATGGAAAGTAAAACAAAGAAGAAAATAAAAAGTGAATTTTTGTTTACAAGTTTTTAGTTATGTAGACTGCAACCTGCCATACCTAAAATGTGTCTGCATGTTTTATAATATGTATTGCTAAATACAAAACGAATTTGAAGGCCTTATCTACATAAAAGGTAAGAAAAATGTTTCATATACAATTGTTGTAGAGATATGTGTTAAATATAAAGTTTTAAAAGCTATGAAAAGTGTTTAAATATAAAGGTTTGCAATAATTACTAATGTTAAATACTTGTATTAATCATGTACATATAGTGTCATATAACTATAATTTTACCTATTTGTAAGGAGTAGGCTTTAAATGAGTGTTCTGGATAGGATCAAATTGATTTAATCCGTGTTTTGTATCAATCTTTAATATTTACTAATAATGAAATTGAATGACCAATTACTCGATTTTTGTAATTGTATACAATGTCTAAGGCCATATCACACATAGCGAAAATTCGTTCAATTCAACCATCAACTCAACCCCAACTTCGACTTTCTGCTCAACATCCATCTGAAACAGTTGAACTATGGTTGCCATACGGTTGACAAGAGTTGATCATTGATAAACGAGTGATTTCTTTCTTTTTAGGCGATTTAGCGCTTTATACATTATATATTTTTAAAATATATTTTTAGATTATTCTTTACCTTTAGTCATATAGTACTTATTTTAAATTATTCAAATAAATTATCTTTAAGTGTTTCATATATTTAATAACATAATATAGCTTTTTGCAACTTACATTTACTATGTATATTTTACAACGGAGAAAACAAAATCTAATATAAAAGTAAAAATAAACAGTAAGAACAAAATTTAGGAGTTTGATAATGTTTTGCACCAAATTAATGCAATTAAGTTTTTTAATGTTGACTTTTAAGTTTTTGAAAAATTATTAAAATAGTTTTTTAAGAGTTCGATAAGTATTATTATATACATATATGTTTAGTGAAATACTCTAGTTTGAAAAAAATTGTGCTATTTATAGAAAATTAAAAGTTTATCTGAAACTGAATTTTTAAAAAAAGAAAGCTATTAAACGGCACTATTTTGTTAAAGATTCAACATGAATAAACACAAACTATTTAAAAATTAGGAAAAACAAGAACTGATAAAAATGATCAATTTATTCCAAAAGAAATGTAAAAGCAGTTTCGATTAATTTTTTATGAGCTCTTGAATGATATTTCCTGTGGTGGCGGATGTTACATTCCAAATGTTTTCTTCAAGAGTTCAATAGATGTGCTCTCCATTTCGATGCTCCATTTAAAAGTTTCCCCAATGGGAGCTTGTTCAAAATTTTGACTCATCTTTGCTGCAATACAAGTAAAAAAATTTATTAAGAAAGGTGAAGCAAATGTATTTAAGGCAACAGACAATAAGGAACAGTCATTAAAAATTACCAACCAATTAATTCTGTCAGCATATTGTTATGGTATGAGTAAGTTTTTTATTATCAGTAAAAACTGAAATAAATTTTTAATGGTTTTCCATGTTTTTATAATAAGATTAATAGAAAGTGAAATTAAAATTATGTATAATTACAAGGAGTATCAGTTACTTGTCCCATTTTTTCAAATATTTAACCTTAAGAAGAAGACTTCTTTTTTAGATAAATAATTTTAACTTTATCTTTAATTTCAAAAAATAAATTAATCTATTAAATTATGAAAAAAGCAGATATAAAAAGTACCTACATATTAGTATATTTAAAGTTAAACGTGTGTTAATACTTTTTTATTAAAAAAATTACATTGAAAAAACCTGTTAGGTGCTTTAACGGGTAAAAAAATATTTTCAACTTCCTTCATAATTTATTCAAAACCTGCTTATTAATAATATAAAGAATGCAACTGCATTTGAAAAATTGATCCTTACAGTCTATGTTATTTAAATTTCCATCTAATCTAATTTCATTAAATATTACTTTTTGAAAAAACCCTCTTTAAGTTTTTAATAGTAATACAAAATTACAGATACAAGTTTCTTCAACTTTATAAATATTAAAAACTTAATCATATAAAGCATGCAGATCTATTTGACAAACTTATGCTACACAATAAATTACATAAGATTAAATGTGAATCAATAAGTTTTAATAAAAACTTTTTTTTTAATAAAACCCACTTAGCGTCCCAAGTGGGTTTTTTCAAGGTGGGCCCACTTGTCAATAGAAAGTGCAAAGTAATTGGAAAAAAACAAATTTTTATTCCGCGAATACTGACAAATATACAGTTTAAAAATAAAATAATACAAAGAAATTAATTCTGTCAGCATATTGTTTAGGTATGAGTAAGTTTACTTTTTATAACGCAATTTTTTCCTTTGTAAAAAAATATTCAAAATCACTGAATTCAGTACCAACTCTAGAATAATTGCTGGTATAATCTTATCGGAACTATAGAAAGAGCAAAGTAATTTTAAAAAAAAAAAACTATATTTGAATTCGGCGAATACTAATAAATATACAGTTACGTACGAAAAAGATTAAATGCAATTCATAAAATTTGTTTATCATTTAAAGTAATGTCAAAATATAAAACAAAACTACTTTTATGTACTTGCAAAATTTACTTCAGATTGGCGAATTTGGCGTAAAAAATCATACTTTTAATTCACGGTTAAAAACATAACACATTTATAACATAAACTTCTTTAATGGATAGAAACAGATTTATACTTCTTATAAAATAACTTTAAAATCAATACTCAATTAAAAACTCACCTGAATTAATATATAACAAATTAGATTCGCTGCTTTTTCACATAAACTTTGCCGCCATATTGTTTTGACTTGTGCTATCCCATAATCCCATGCGGTTGCTGCCACCTGATTGGTTGAATTGTGAAGTTGAATCAACTCTTTCGAAGAGATCTGAAAGAGTTGAACAGCAGTTGATCCAACTCGGATAAGTATAGCACACCTATGTTTTCGGACGGGGTTGTCTTCAGAGTTGAAGTTGAGGTTGAGTTGATGGTTGAATTGAACGAATTTTCGCTATGTGTGATATGGCCTTTTTTTTCAAGGCTGCTGAGAAATGTTTGACCTTTGCAGTCCGCTGTCCACTCTGATGAGGCACCAAAAGTTTCCACTCTGAAATATGAAATTTTTGTTTGCTTGACACGTTCACGCCGGGGTGACACACCGGTGGGTCACGCTAGATTGTGTCTCATCTTGGCAGCGCACCGGAGTAAAAACTGGTAACAATAAATTTCATTTTTTAGTTTTTTTTCCGGGAATAATAAAAATCCATAACTACCAATTGTTTTTAACGGATGCAATTTTTATATAGAATTGCTTCTTCGCCGTGATAAATTTCCTTACAGTGAATTGTTATTGTTGAGATTAGATGAACTCCTCCCGAATATTATGCAATATTGAAATAGTTCTTCAACCAGTATTTTCACTTTTCCCGGCGTGAACGTGTTAATCTAATTTTTAGTAACGAATTAGTGTCAGGTTGTTAGCATGCACGTTAATTAGTTAGGTTAGTATTTTATCCTGTAATTTTAAAAGATTTAGTTCTCGCATTAATAGTGATGCCTCTGGTAACTAAATATGTAAGTGGTAGAAACTCAATTCAATTTTATTAATTACATTTATTTAATTGCATTTATTTTTAATTATTCAATGTAACTACCACCACAATTTACTTTCTAAATTATTTATGTAATAACGAAAGCAGTTCCCGGTTAAGTTAAATAGCAAACTGAATAATCAAGTAAGATTAAGTTACTCCTTTTAATTCTTTAACCTCCTCTCCCACATTTTCGTTTCCAGTCGTCGCCCATGACAATTTGATATTTATGACAAAAAGTTTTCCCTGTGGTGGTAGAACTGAAGCAAAATATTTTAAAACAAAACGACCTTTCATAAGTCATTAGAACATGGTATATGATGTTTTATGTATAACACTTTTAATTACTTAAATGTTGTGGAGGACTAGATTCTTTTCATTTCCATTAATGAAAATTATCAAAAATAAAACTATTTTTGGGTGTTCTATATTGCATTAATTTCTTCAAACCATTTTAGTAACGATAATAATATAAAAATATTAAACATTTACTCGAATTATGTGTTTATGATAATCTCGCCTTCGCCGGTCACCACTGACCCCCGTGGCGCTACGAACAAACTCAATGCCGGTCACCAGTAACTCCCATTCAACGTGTTAATAAAAAAAGTAACTTTTATGAAAAACGTGGTAGAAGGTTTTCATATAACTTAAATGTTAAGTTTCTTCAGATAGCTACTAATTTTTCTAAAAAATGCAGCAATTGATTTTAGAACAATAATTAATCGATTTTTGGTAGATAGGAATTAGAATAGTAAGGGATTATTATTTTTATTAGGATAGGAATTTTTGGATTAATTATAATTAATAGATTTCAGTACATAGGAGTATTCAGTTTTTCTAATTCTAATTATTAAGAATGAAAGATTAGAGTTACCAGTCTTGAAAAAGAGACATGCTTACCTGCCAACTTGTAGGGTCGTTGAAAAAGATTTAACAAAGTAATAGTAAAAATTAAGTTTGGAAGAATTTTCTAAAAATAAAACTATAACATTATAGGCTATATATACTATAACATTATAAGACATTTATAGGCTTGCCAACTACTACGCTTTTTGTAAAATATTTTATAGAGTGGTAAGCATTTTAAAACCAAAGTTTTCAGATTTTTCAGTAATTTAGCCAACATTTTAAGAGTCTCACCACTTCACAGCTGGAACAACGTGGCGTTGTATCTGAACTTTTGAATCATCAGCGTGTAGGGGGATGGAAAAAATAAGTTTAAATGAATAAAAAATAGTACATTAAAACATTAACTTAGCTACCACTGGAATAATTTTTTATAAAAAGAGTAGAAAGTTGGCAGTTCTGCATTTATTAGCAAAACTAGCCAACAATTAAATCTTATCTGTATATTTTTTTTAAATTATTGATTCGTCATGATTGTTGAAATTTTTTTTTAAAATTTCAAACTTCAATATATGATATGCCAAAACGCTATGCTAAAAAAATTATTTCTCAAAGGCGTACAAGTTGGCAGCTATGGACATGTTCCAAAGAGGCCCCCCCTGTCCGAGAGGTATCTCCTGTCAAACGCAATGAGAAGCGTGGAGGTGACGGGTTCGAATCCCGTCGTAACCCTGGAAGTATTTATTCTTTGTGATGTCCTTCTCTAAAATGTTCTATCCGTCCTGCTACTTGACAAAGGCGAACAAATGCAAATTGAGCAAACAAGCCTGCAATTTCAATAAAGCAATAAAGACATGTTTCAAAATTTTAATATAAGCACTCAAACGGTTAAATCTTAGAGCTGAATCAATTATACATAATTGGCAGTTTATATATATATATATATATATATCCAGGGGTCTAGTTAGAGTAAAAGCAATAAT